TGAATTTTAATATTTTTTTCCTCTTTTATGTGTAAACATTTTTTTTCTTTTTCTTCTATTTATCCTTTCTAATATTAGATTTATGATATTTTTAAGCATTACTTAAAAACAGAGGAAATTATTTGCTCCTATTTATATATAATTCCTCAAATGGATGGTAGCAAAAAGTAATATATATTGACAAAAATTTTGGTAGTATACAATTATATATGTTGCCCTCTTGCGATTGCCGCCGTAATCCTCCTCTCTATATTGATGCGCAGTTATGCCACCGTGATTCCGGTGAAGAATAGCCGGCGGCGATCGCCGGAGCACGGCGAGGCCGACATTTCTGACGGTCTAAGAACTCCAGATACACATTTCTCCGTGCACTCATCGCTTACTATTTGCTGATACCTGCACTCCTTGCTGCAAAACGCTTTCTCCCCCCTGCAATCACTGTCACATAAATTAGTTATACGCCAAAGCAATTATTATGATTTGTTTTAATTCGCATGAAGATTTTATTATATTTAATTTCATTATATTGATACAATCAATACAATTAAAACACAACAAATCCAATAATTACCTGTACATGTAGATATCTTTGCCGTCCAATCTCTTCCTGCATAAGTTGCAGCAACTGAGGAACTCTGCCACCGGAAAATCTCCGGCGGCCTTCGCGTTCCGCAAAGGGGTGATGACGATGACAGGAGCTGAGCTCCGGCGGGCAGTGACGACGATCTTTGACGGTCGAGCCTTCTCGAGAGCAGCCACGATGCCGAGCCCGACGCCGTCGGCCTCTCTCTTCTTCCAGCCCTTGAGGGACTGCGGGTTGCGCTCGAGAGGGCTAAACAGGGCGGTGTCACGGTCCAGCAAGGTCCGGCCGGATATTGGTTTTGTGGCCGGAACGAGATGGGTGGGCCGATGGACCAACATCGCCGGAGCGGGCTGGTTTGAGGGGATGGAGTGAGGTGGTGGTTTTGGTTGGAGAGATGGTGGAGAATAATCGGGCTCCTCTGGTGCGCTTTTAAAGCCAGAAAGGGAAAATAATTGGGCCGGGACTTCTCATTGAATTTAATTAGTAAAAGTTAATTTAAATATTAATAAGTTGAATTCTGATTAGTTCATGAACCACACCTAAAAATTAGAGTCTAAGACATAAAAGAAAGAGAGATATGAGAAGTGCATGGTAATGAAATTTGATGCTAATTCTTGATTAAAACTTATTTATAAAAATGATCCCTTATTTACAGAAGATGAGGCACAATATATAAAATTATATGTCTACATATGCTTTAATTGAGATGTTACATAATATTTCAGTTATTGTATATGTAAAAGTCTTCGGTTCATGCTAGGTATGACTCATATACCATAAATGAGACAGATGCTGGAGCGGAGCGGAGCCCGCGAGTAGAATGGAGCAGAAGGATTTGTCCAATCGGGGGAGTTTCATTATGTGGGTTGGAGGTGCAGGGGCAACACCCCACGGTTTGGTACAAGGGTAATTTAAGTAATTACATATTGTATTATAGGGTTATATATATGTCATGTTTGTAACCCTAGGTGAGTCTCTAAGTCTCTGAGATTCCGAATCTTGTATTCTGTACACTTTTCTGAATATTGAAAAAAAGTCGCCGCTATGCTCCAGAGGATGTAGGCATCTTTGTCAAACCTCATTAAATCTCTGTGTGTTCTTCTGGTTTTGTGTCGATTCCTGTTTTTCTTCGCCCTAATTTCTCAACAGTTCAACTACCATATTACTCGATCTACTAAACTGACCGATCATGATTCTACAAGACTAGCTTGTTCGATTGAGCTGAATTAGGGTGGTCGTCGGTCAATCTTTGATGGTCTTAGGTTTAGCGAGACTTGTTCGGTCAGCTCAGCTTTGACGGTCGATCATTCTAACCTTATTATCAACTATTTATCCCTGGTAAGAAATTATTGTCGGCAGAGCAAAACTAGAGTATCAGGTAGAGCATAATCAGTGTGATATGATAAATAGCTCACCCATTGACATATTGCACTCTCATGTGCTTTTGTACAATATAATGATTTACTATGTTTAAATAATGTGAAATCATAATATTTTATCTATATATTAATATTAAAATCATTATATCTATTACAAATTTTACGGTCAAACAATAAAATAGCTAGATATGTTCAACATAAGTAGAAGAATAAATATCATTAAAAATTTATATATGCTAATTTTTTAAGACTATTTTGATAAAATGAAAATTTAAATATTCTGATCTAAAATTTTTTTATTTTTACTTCTCAAATTTTCTTTGAAAATTGTATACATCTTAGAAAATTTTAAAATATATATTTTTTACATATAAACTTAATATGTGTGCATAAGTATATGTATACGTGTGTCTATGTGTGTCACGTACCTCGGCGTGTTGGTTGCCATCCCCCTTGACCTTAGAAAGGCGATACCAAAATTGTTAGGCACAATAAAAATGATCGTAGTCTATGATGCGAGCCCTGCCCCACACACACACAGACATAGACACACACACACACATGTACACGTAAAGTAACATGACAAAAATATAATTTTGTAAATAACAATGAAAAATTAATAAGTTCTTAATGAAATTCATATATTTTTAATAATAAATGCATGATATTCTCTTATAATCATTGATTCACTTATAAAAATAAGCATTAAATATTTTTCTGAATTTTTTTATTTATTTTAGCAGTAAAATAAAAAATATATTTTTTTCCCTTTAAAAATAGTGATATTTTGTTTGGGGGAAAATTAAAATAGCTATAATGAATATTATTCTTCTACGGGGACGCCGCCTGTTTTATAATATTGCGGAATCCGTGGGCTAAAGTGTTGGGGCAGTGCGCTCTCTTGATCGTCCGGCACACGTTGGCCCACGCTTTTGCATTCGGGCAGTCGGCCGGCGTGTTTATTCTGATCAATAATTTTAATATTTTTTAAATTAAAAAAAAATAATCAATTATGCGACTCTAGAGTTAATGCCGTGAGTCTCATTAAAAGAAGAACTCCTAAACGCGTTTATATCTGAAGATCAATATTTTGGAACTGGATTTAAAATATAAATATATTTGCTTGATTATAAGATGTCATGCATCATCAATAAATATTTTATTTATAACGAAGTTTTAGGTTTTTTTTTTAAAACAAAAAAAAAATCATTATAGAATTAAATTAAAGATCAATCAAGGCTCAAATTTTCATAAGTTTATAGTTGAATTGATTGTCTCAATAAAACAAATCGATGATATCAAAATTGGTTCGATCCCAATCCAATCAAGCAAGGATCAATTCGCTGATGCACTTTTACAGTTTTGGATCATATATTTAATTGTCAAATGAACTACAAATTTGACATATTTATATTCAAATCGAGCATCTCGACGAGAGGAATCTAACGATCTTAAGTTCATTTAATTCCAAGGTCATAAGACTTTCAAATCATTAAAAAAAACTCATATGAACAATGAGGGTTAATATGAGTTGTCTAATTAAGTTGTTATGAGAGTTATTTGCCAAATGACCAAAATGTCTCTCCAATAAAATGTAAATATACCAATTCTCTTCACTTGATGGGAGAGAAGGAGTCAAATTTTAGTGATATTCTAGACGAAAGGCTCAACTAACTTCTCGCCTCCATAATATCCGACCACTACTACCTGGTCTTCATCGATCACTGCCGGTCATCCCTGCTCGCTGCCATCTGCGAACTTTGCTTCGTAGTTATGTATCCTAAATGCGGTGTGACGAATAACAGCACATTGAAGACCTGATGATAACTTACAGTATCTATGGTCTTTGCGGCTTACTGACACTGCTACGACTTCCAACTAAGGACTTTATGGTCAACTAACATTGTTAAACCTTCCAAATACGGCTTCTTGGCAAACTAATTATGTAATTACATCCACTGACTAAGATATTTATGGCCAATTGATGTTACAATTACTTTCAATTATGATCTATATGGCCAACAAACTCTACTGTAATTTTCAACTGCGACCTATGTGAGTAATTGCTACTGTGACTTTTAATTATGACCTATGTGACCAACTCACACAACTTCAACTACATACTCAACCCATGTGACAAACTACGGTCTATGTAACAAACTGTTATTACAACAATCAACTACAACTTCTATGACCAATCGACACTACTACAACAACCTACTATGACTTATGTGACTAACTATTTTTGTCTATGTGGTTAATTGTTGCTACAACTTTCAAAAGAATGTAACAAACTGTTATTACAACAATCAATTACAACTTATATGACCAATCGACACTACTACAACAACCTACTATGACTTATGTGACTAACTATTTTTGTCTATGTGGTTAACTGTTGCTACAACTTTCAAAAGAATACTTATGTGGCTCATTGACGCTACTGCAACCACCAGCTACAACCTATGTGATCAACTACGGTCTATGTGACTAACTGCTATTGCGGCTTCCATTTACGATCTATGTGGCTAAAATACTCTACTGCAGCTACCAACCACACCTTATGTGATCAACTACAATTTGTGGCTAACTATTACTACAACTTCTAATCACGACCTTTGTGACCAACTGAAGCTATTGTAGCTACCAAAAACAACCTATGTGAACAACTACAACATATGTGGCTATGCTTCCAACTACGACCTATGTGACCAACTGTCACCATTGTAGCTACCAACTATGACCTATGTGACCAACTACGCCCTATATGACTAATTTCTAACTAAAATCTATATGATCAATTGACACTATTACAACTACCAACTGCAACTTATACAACCAATTACGACCTATGTGGCTAACTGCTACTGCGGATTTTAACTATAGTCTCTATGGTCAATTGACTCTACTAGAGCTACCAACTGTATCCTATGTTACTAACTACAACCTATGTGGCTAACTGTTACTGCATCTTCTAACTATGGCCTTTTGATCAAGTAACACTACTACAATTACTAACTAAGACCTATGTGATTAGTTGCGGTCTATGTGACTAATTGTTATTGTATCTTCCAACTACTACCTTTGTTGCTAACTGATGTTAGTTTAGCTATTAAGTACAACATATGTGACTAACTACTAATGCAATTTCTAACTATGATTTATGTAACCAAATAATGCTACGACAACAACTAACTATGACATATGTTACCAACTACAACAAATATGGGTAACAGTTACTGCACCTTTAAGCTACAGTCTTTATGGCCAACTAATTATATTACAATTACCAATTACGACCTATGTGGCCTATGTGACCTAATGACATTATTGCAGTCATTGATTATAACACTTTTGATAAATTGTTACCTTTGTTGCAATCAACTACAATCTTTGCAACCCACCATTGATATTATCTTCATGAACTATTTTTTTTGTAGCTTAACTACGATTATTATAGCTGAACTAATATTGTACATATGTAATTATGAACATTATAATTTTAAATTCAAAAGAAGAACAAACATATATACTTATAAACATATATTGAATTACTTTGATTAAACCAGACCCTGTGATTTTTTCTTTTTCCATAGCTGTTTGAAGTAAAAAATCACGATGTCTCAACTTGCTACTTTTTTGTTATTTATGTGTGTGTGATGTATCTTCATGCAATGCCAAGACGTTAAAGTATCACTCTACCATTGCGAAATTTTTGGTATACAACAAGATGCCTCATTGAAAAATCAATTAAATGTTTAGTGATAAAATGGAAAATTTTAATGCTCACTTTTCCTATCTTAATTGGTTATAAACATTGTTCTTTCCTTTATTTATCAAAATCTTATCTATAAATTCCAAAAATTGATTGGATTTTACACTTATTGTTGTAGGGTACATGATAAAGGTGAAGTTGAAGCTTGGAGAGAGAAAAAATGATTGTATCTGTGTGTGCAAGAATAAATGTGACGATCGTGTGGCCCAAGATACTTGTTGGCTCTACAAAAGAAGATGCAAAATTTGATTACCAATTCTTAATGTTAG